TAAGTTGATTAAAAAGAGAAGTTAGTTATCTTTTTAATAAACTTTTTGAATGGTGCATAAAAGGAGTAATATGACAGAAAATATGTTCAGCGTCTCTATAGTTTCTCATGTTATTTTTAATAACATGAAAAGCCTTTAGATATAGGCATGTTAATTTGATATCTTGTGTTCAACGTTTCAAGTACAGAAAGTTTTATTTTTAACTTTAATTTATTTTTACTCAAGGAATACTTGTCAAGCCTTATTTTAATTGTAAAGATGTGTAATGGTAATTCTTTTGTACACATATTATACCACGTTCCAGTGTAATCAAATGTATTGCTTTGAAAGTGATACCGCAAAATTTCAACTGGTTTGTATTAAATAAAATTGTAGCTTTTAAAATTTAAGTTCTTTCTTTTTCTTCTCTCATTATCGAGTATGTCGCTCGAACTGGCGTAATTTAAGTATTTTGAAAACTACCCTCAGCTCCAGATGAAAAACAAAACAAAAACGTTTATTCGTTTTCCGACATTTCAGTTTTATACCTTCGTCAAGTATTATAGCTGCTGATTACAGATGACCTCGCCATCATCAGTAACCCTAGGTGATGGTGGTGTAAAACATAGCCAGGAAATAAGCTCAACATTTTGTTTTCTTATCTGAAGTTTAAAAACTTGTGTTTATTATAATGCACTGTCTGAAATACTATTGTTAATTTGAAACGTTCTCTTATGCTTTTTTTTTACTTTGTATTTAAAAAATTCTGAAATACTTAAGTGTTACTATTCAGATTTCTTAGTAATAAATTAAAACATTTCTAATTGTTAAGTGCATATTGCAAATATTTTGAAATCTGAAAACGTGAAAAAAGTTTACGAGTGTGATTGAGTTTTAGTTTGATAAATAGGAATACGCCAGTAAAGTATTTATTTTTTCAAATTGGTTTAGCCTCTGTAGCAGAAGTTATATACAGCATTTTAAAACTGGATTCTTCTTGGTCTCTGTAAACATAAGATGGTAATTTACATTTTTGAAGACAAATCTATCTCCTAGTTTCGCGCGTTTTGTCGAACGAACGAAATACTATTAGGTATTTCGATTTGAAAGACAACCGGGGGTGCTCGCCCCAAAAACCGCGTTTTGTCAGTTATCTTTGCGTCGTAGTCTTATGAGGTTTTATAAAGCGCCATCTAGTTTCTCGTGAGTGATGCAAGTAAAATCGTGTGGGCTAGTTGTATCCTCCCTGACAAGCCCAGTTTCAACTTTGAAGCATGACAGCTGTTAGGTGGTTGATGTTGAATTGTCGACGATTCCGTCTGTCGTTGTACTTGAGTATTTGAGGAATCATATAGAGCCGTGTAGTCTTAAGTCTGTCGTAGTTTATCGAATAGCCAACAAAAAATATTTTAACTAATGTTTGAAGCAGAAGTATGATATTTTTTTTTAAAAAGAAATATACTTTTATTTGAGGAGGAGTAAAACGGAATTTTGTGTGTGGATTGTTATGTTCGCTATACTTCACACTGTCTCAACCATGGAATATCGTGTTGAATAGCTAATTTTACAGTTAATGACCTAGGTTGGTGAGGAGAGCCATCGAAAGACTATTTGAGAAACACTCGGTTTCGGTTGTTGAGGCTCACGTGGTAATAAGATAACGTTGTACACTCAATTACGTATTTTACCCCTTGTGCCCAGTGATGCATCGTGTTAAAGGGCCGTCCGCCTTGTTTGGGGTTGAACGAAAACCCAAGCCTCAAGAACAAAAACGATTAATTCAATCAAACTATTCTGTGAGATGGGGTAATGTGTTTTTTGACTTGAATTTTTCATTTTTAAACAGATAATAAGTAGCATGTGTTTATTTTTTCTAATACATTCTTGAACACAACTTGGAAAGCAATCAGATTTGTAAAGGACATCGAGAGTTGAAAGTGTTTCTTTGTTGTTGCTCCAATTTTATGAAGGCTGTATGTCAACAAATGTTATTTTTTTGTTTTTAATTAGTAAGTATAAGCTGTAAATTAATTCAACTTTTTTCTTTATTTTAACGACACGAAAAATATATATTTATAAATATTTACATGTAGGGTAGAAATGATGACTTAGTTCGTATTGATAACATAAAAATGTACGACAAAATTCTGATAGCAAAAAATTTACGTTAACTCTCAAACACGTATGTACAAATGCGTTGTTTTTATGCCGTATGCATATATTCTACTGACTTCGGCTTTGATTGTTTTCATTATATTAGGTTCATAACATGTGGCTGCTTCAGGAAAACATCTGGAACTCTTTTTACTAAATCCCCTATTTTTCTTTAAAAAAATTAAAACACATCAAACCATAAATGATAAATATCTATAATATTTCGAAACGTTCTAATTGATTGAAGCTATCACAACTGTAAAAAAAGAACTTAAAAGAGTCAAAGTCAGAAATATCAATTTCCTGAAAAATAACCATGCATAACTGAATTACATTTCGTAATAACAAATAACACAACCATTTGTAAACAATCTAACAATGAAAGTTTTAAGAAGTATAAAATGTAAATTTCAACAACCAAATCACAGCTCAATAACTCATAATTGCAGTTCTCGGAAAATAAACAATGAGTAACTTAAAGGTAATAACTTTCAAATTTTGATTATTTTATTTTGGCGGCCGTATTTGCATATAAGCACTTACATATTTTCCTGCTGTTAAAACTCGTCTATAAAATATGTACAATTTTAAATTAAAAATATGATAAACACGCCTAACCGTTAAAGTCGCGAACCGTACTGAATGTTTAGTACTACTTTGTTCATCGGAAGTATATAATACTAAATTGTAATACGAATCTATTTTGAGGGTGTTTAAACAAGTGGGAATTGGAAACCTTTCCGGCGTGTAATAAGTACAAAACAAATTTACTTAGCATGTAATATGTTCTTGCATAATTGCTTCACATTTTTTGAAAATCGGTTTCAACAGCCTTCTGTGATCTACGTCACTTTACTTTGCAGTACGTAGCGCTGCTGCAAAAACACGCAATGCACTTTGTGGTAGTGGGTGCATTATAAGAGTGACGGTCAAAACCCACTGTTCGGTAAAACGAATAGCTATAACGTTGATGGTGTGTGTTGCTGACTAGCTGTTTTCCCACTGGCCTGTCAGTTAAAAAAACAAATAAAAAATATCGCACTTTGGGGTAGTGAGTGCGTTATAAGAGTGACGGTCAAATTCCACTAATCCATTAAGATTAGTCTAAGAGTTGGCAGTAGGTGGTATTAACTAGCTGCGTTTTCTGTAATCCATTTGAAAATTGGGAGCGGCTAGTGCAGATATCCCTCGAGGAACTGCGCGAAATTCAACCAATAAATACAAATATCTGCGCAAAAAATCTAAAAAAAACAAACAAACGAAATGAACTAATTTTGCATTACTGTGATATAAGTAAAAAATTTCATTGTTTAATTCCAAAATTATATTATATTCATAAAATTCGAAATCATTTATTTTTTGGCTTTACATGATCAGCTGTTGTTAGGTAAATAACTGATTTTTAATGAATACGTTAAGCACGTCATTAAGTGTATTTATAGTTGTTAAGTTTGAACAGTTCTCTCATTTATTTTCGGCCCTTTGAAAGTCTTGCTTATGAAATGACAGTTTATACGGGTGCTAGCGTGAATGCGTATCATGTTCATAAAATGCTAAAACAATTCTCACGTTAATGTCTGATGTACACAACACTTTCTTACTAATGCGCTCAATCTTTCTAAATATCGAGTTTTTGTTATATAGTTGACTTGGATGTTTTTTAAACGTCATTTAAAGATAAGTGATATTTAAAGAATGGTTGAATGTAGCTACTGTTATTACATTTTTTGTAACATGTTATTTCACAGCACTAAAGCGTGTCTTTAACTTATTTGTAAAAATAAATGCTAAAAATCCAGACTTTTTAGAGACAACACAAACATTTTTGAAAACTGTAGTAAAAATTCTTTACCTTTTCCCCCCCAAGTATTAAAACCATCAGTCGGCAGCCTTATGATGCTAAAATTCGGATTTCGATACCCGTGATGCACAGAGCACATATAGCTCATTGTGTAGCTTTGTGCTTTACAACAAACATACAAACCAAACCGAGTTTTCAAAGAAACAACGTAAAAGCCCCTCAGAGGATCAGCGAAAAGTCCGAGGGCTCTTACCTCTAAAAATTGGGTTTCGATACCATTGCATGGCTTCGTGCATAACAAACAAACGTAAAAAATATTTTAAGTCTAAGATAAATTAATTTTTTAAATACACTCGCAAAGGAAAGGGTAATTCGTATTTTATGACATTGTAGACTTGTACAAAATACAGAATATTTGTGTACTTCGAAACGTGAGGTTTGTTATTTTTCGTATGTAGGACGAGAGCAAGCGGTGATTTTTTTTTATGTGCGGTATTTATTACAGAACATTCAGTTATTTATTTGGTTACACTTCGTTAAATAATTTGCTTGTCTTATTAATCCGCGAGATGTTTTGTTCTACTTTTTTTTAGCGTTATTGTTTCTAAGTTCTTGTAAATGAAAACGCCACGGTAGCTTTTTTTATATTGGGATTTTATTGCATTATATGTTCTAATGACGATTTTGTTGCTTTCTTTGTTCAGTTTTGTTTTGTGTGTTGTTGTTTTTTTTTCTGTAGAGGAATTCGTGGCACACGGGTCCAATGTCAGCTGTTTAGCTCTTGGAAAGAAATCTGGCCGGGTCATTGTCACTGGGGGCGAAGACAAAAAGGTCAATCTATGGGCAGTAGGAAAACCAAATTGTATAATGGTAAAGATAGTCTTATTGTACTGTATTTTTAGGCAAATTATTAATTATACATCTATTTTAATCATTTGGGAAATAAGTTGGAATGTGTTTTGAAGTGAAAAGCGCTTGTTTTCCCTTTAAATAATCAGTTACGATATTAAAGAGTAGGTATTCTCAGTTTTTATTGGTTTAAATGTAATGTGTTACATATTTATTTTATAATATATAATGTATAAAAATAGTTGCCTCTTCTTATTGTTGTTGCATAAATAAAGATCAGAGTTGTGTTGTTTACGTATTCGCCATCTCGTTCATCCACATTTAACAAGTAACTAGTGACTCCCGGCTTATATATGACCAGTAAACCACCACGGCTTTTGTTTCCAACAGTTTTCTCGCGACTTTATCTGTTTATCAGGTTTCTAGGATATAGTTCAACTGTTGTAGTAAGTGTTATTATTATAACAATAGAAATGGAAGGTGAGATGTTTCCAATTTTAAACTTGCTAGTTAACGGCTTACTTTATTTCCTTTTGCGTCTTGAGGATCAAATACGTACATGATTGGAGTATCTGTATAGAACTTAACTCAGCCGTTACTCTGTTGTTTTATCAGCATGTAAGCCCGAGCCATTAGTTTAGATTGTAGTTCCAGTTGTATTTTCATGCATATCTGGACCGAAAAGACAATGGTGCTAGGAGTGTGAAATAGTGTCACTGAACTTACACCCACCCACCCTCTAATAGCACAACGGCGAGTCCGCAGACTTATAACGCTAGAAATCGGGTTTCTATACCCGTGGTGGACAAAGAACAGATATCTAATTGTGTAGCTTTGGGCTTAACTACCAACACTAATCTTATTAGTAACAGGTTAGTTAGATCTTTTAGAAACAATGCATCTCTGCCTTGTCATGAGCACGTTATGCCTAGGGAGTGGAGACATTTGTTGTTCAAAGCCCCTTGATCACATTGGATGGTCTGTCAATGTTATTGTTACGTGAAAGTTAAAGTTATTACGCATAGATCTTACAACATTTTTACAGTATTTGTTTGACGACATTTAAAAATATACGATCGAGAATCGTACTTTAAGCCTTTTTAAAGTCAGATAAGATGAGTTGTAAGATTTCAGGCTAGGTGAATTCGCTACTCACGTGTGTTCTTTAAAGAATGGGACGTCTCGTTTATATGTTCAATTGACTTATGATATTAATACGTAACCTTCTCAGCAGTATTATGTTCCTTCGATGTATTTGGATTTATTAGCTTCTCAATATGCATGACCTAAACTGTTTAATTATGAAGAGATTCATTGATTCATGGGATAGTTCTACTTTTAGTTTAATGTGTTTTATTGTTTTCTTGATAACTTTGTTAGACCGATTATTTCTTTGTAAAATGTGTTTCATATCATACAGATAAAATTATAATATTGCGAGACTGATGAGCTGTGAATTCAGCGAAACTAGTCTGCTGCAAAGGAAATAGCGAATCAAAGAATAAATTAGGTGTCTACGTCATCATTTCATCATGAAATTCACATTTTTATGGGGAAAAAAATTCACAAATAAATAATAAATAACCAATTAGTCCGCTAAATAATAACGGATAATTAATTGGGACGGTATGTGACATGTTATCCAAACACCTAAAGTATTTTAGGTTATTAATGGTGAGTAAAAGATTACACATTTAAATCAAACCAATATCTTCAGATGTTGAAATAATCTTGACTATTTTTTATTTTTTTTACTGTTTTACAGTTCAGTCTGGTTTGTTTGTTGTTTTTTCCCACTGTTAATAGGTCAGAATTTCCAAACTTTATAAACCATTTACAGTTTCTTGAGCACACATGTGAGACACCATTTATTTTTATTTAACGTATATATTGTCTGCGATTATTTTTACCCAAGATCGACTATGCTAGGAGTATTTCACGGACATAAGATTATGGTGAATTAAATATTTTTCTTTTGCGGTAGTACAAAACAACGTGCTTGCTCATTATTTAGTGTTCCACGTGTCTCCAGGACGTCTTATGTTTTGTCAATTCAATTCCTGAAAGGCGTTATGATAGAACAGATATAAAGGCGTATCTACTGTAACTCTAAAGCAACTCAGTATAGACTATTGACTGTTTGTAAACGATTACGAACAGAATTTATTATTGTTTTTATTTTATTTTTGTGATTACTTGTCATTGCCTTGGCTTTACAGACTAACCAATCTTCACCTTGAAGGCCGAAAATATCGATAATGGTGACCATACCCAAATGATCAATCAATACTTTATAATCAAAGGTTTTTGTTCTTTTGTGGTTTATTTTAGAACATTAAATACTCTTAATTAGACTGATATATGGAATTTAGCTGCTTTATTAACCTTTTATTTTAGTTCTGTTTTTGTAGTTAGCTTGCTTTGATCAGAAGTTATTGATAATTGCTATTAGTTGCCTTTCTGTTTAGGTGGTATATACATATATATATATATATATATATATAT